GTTGGCATCGACTGATTTATACCTGCCTCTGGAGATTTCCATTACTTGCATTTGAAGAAGAGAGGTTCTTACCCACGAAAGCTTATGCTCCCAATACTTCTGTTAGTCTTAAAGGTGCCACAGGACCCTCTGTTGCTTTTTACAGATTCAGACTAACACGGCTACCCCTCTGATACTTGACGCTCTGTAAGTAGAAGTTCAAGAAGGTTCAGTTACTGTCCTGCAGGTTAACCCTTTGGAACTCTTCCATAAGTGAACACAACCTATCATAGTTCTGAAGTTGCAAGGAAAGCCTGTAAATAACTCTCATGACACATGTAGTTATCAGGTACTGGACATTTTGCAACAAAAGGGTTCTAGAGTTTCTCAGGCAGTTGCTGATCAGCATGGCATATGATGGGAACAAGTGAGAATTTATAAAATCTACTAGTCTGAAATCCAGAGTCTCCATAATTTCGTCTGTAACTATTATTGTTTAAGGTCTGATACTGGAGCAAATGCCCTCTTTAGCCTACCGGTTTGGCAAAAACCTTTTCTTCTTGGCCTTATCTTGTCTAGGAAAAACAGGGTGTTTTAAAACACGTTCACTAATATCACGTGTCAAAATCCTAGTGTAGATAAGACTAACAAGGGTTAACATTCAAAATTGCCTTGTCTACACAAGGGCTGTAACAAACATGTTTAAAAATCACACCTTTCTTCCTAGTGTGCCCAGCCTTTGTCAGTCTGTGACCTCCACCTCTTTCAGGGGCATCACTTTTCAGCCTCCGTGGCAATAATCAGTTATAAAAGGAAATCGCCCAATGCATTCACCTACCCACTTCTCCTAGTTCAGATATGCTCAGACATTAAAAAGAACAAGTGACGGGGAGGGAACCTCAAGTTTGCATAGCCTAGGGCATCAGCTGTGTGTTGGAGAACAGGTTACAGTTAGCAGCTGCTCAGATCCCTGTAGTAATACAGGAAGCTCAGACATTCAAAGTATTGGTTTGTGGCAGAGACACAACCGTATGTAAAACAAACCTGTGGGAGAGTTGGAGAGGGAGGAAGGTGAAAATACACATGACTTGCCACTCGTTTGAGGGCAAGAGGATAACAGAGTTGTCAGGGGTGCGACATGTCGCCTCCATCAGTGACTGTGCCTCTGTAAAGAAGTCTGGTAGTTAATAATGTGGATTTTAACTGGCCTGACAGTGTTGTTGTGGGATTGTTTTTGTCTTGTTATAGGAATGAGAACAGCAATGAGAATTACACAACTGACTTTATCTACCAGCTATATTCTGAGGAAGGAAAAGGCGTGTTCGATTGCAGAAAGAATGTATTGGGCCACATGCAGCAGGTAAATAAAGTTACGAACTTTCCTCTGTATACAGCAGCAGGATTAATTTAGTGTGTGTGAACTGCCGTCACCATTCCAGGATTATGCACAAGTGGTTCTTCTTGCATCTATACCCTTTAGACCGGTGGTGGTCCTTCTTGCATCTATACCCTTTAGACCGGTGGTGGGCAACCTGCGGCCCGCGGCCTGCACGTGGGTAATCTGGGTAATCTGCTGGCAGACCGCGAGACGGTTTGTTTCCATTTGCATGGTTGCCTGCAGCTCCCAGTGGCCGTGGTTCACCGTTCCTGGCCAATGGGAGTTGCATGTTGCCCACCACTGCTTTAGACAAAATGAATGTTACTAAGGGTTTCCTCCATTGTTACTATCAACTCCTCACCCATTTTGGGGTGTTGGAAGGGGAGTAGAAGAGGGGTAATTTAGTTTTGCAGAAGGAAATTGCAGCAGATTCCCTCTTTTACCGTGTCACCTTTTTTGTTCCCCCCCATCCCTATTTTTAAAAAAGGGTGCTGTTATTTTTTAGTAGCTCACTCACTGCCTCTTACAAGACCTCCCTGAAGCTGCCAGTGCAGGAGCATCTCATCCCTGGAAGAGAAATTAGGTTCCTATAGAACATTTGTGCTCATTGTTCACTTTTTCCTTTTGGAGGAGAGGGGAAATAGTCATCCTGTTAATCTTCACTATGATTGGCTTTGCCCTGTACAGAACTCCTAGCTAGTGCATCCCACACACCCAGATGGGGCACTAGTCAGCCAATAGCAGTATGAGAGTGCATAAGGGCACAAGGATAAGCAACTAGGAAATTTACAATGGGAAGCAGGGCAGGTCTAGGGGAAAGAGTGTTTAATATGAGACCCTGGGTCCCTTTCTAGTAGTGACTGAATATCTACTGGTTCATATGAACCATAACGTTTTAATTCCAGCTTTAAAGCTTCATATTTTGTTTGAAGTCTTAACCCTGTGCCAAAATTATACAACAGCTTCCCTGCCTTGTATCTAAGTACATTATATATTTGATATACTAACACTGTTCCCGCTTGTTTGTAGTGTATTTAGAACTAAATGCTAAGAATTTCAGTAAATGCACCCAAAACAGGTTATACATAGAAAACAGTAGAATCTGCTTTCACCTGAGGAGCATATAGTTAGATCCAGTTAAGAGCCCTGTTTTGACAGCTGGAATAAAAGCGAATAACTGTACCTTTTGTATTTTGTCAAGTTCTACGTTCCCATAGACCAGGGATTGGCAACCTTTGGCACGCGGCCCGTCAGGGAAATCCGTTGGCGGGCCAGGCCGGTTTGTTTACCTGCAGCGTCTGCAGGTTTGGCCGATCGCAACTTCCACTGGCCGCGGTTCGCTGTTCCAGGCCCATGGGGGTTGCGGAAAGTGGCACAGACCGAAGGATGTGCTGGCCGACGCTTCTCGCAGCCCCCACTGGCCTGGAACAGCAAACTGCAGCCAGTGGGAGCCGCGATCAGCCGAACCTGCAGCCGCTGAGGGTAAACCAACCGGCCCGGCCCGCTAGCAGATTTCCCTGACGGGCCGCGTCAAAGGTTGCTGATCCCTGCCAAAGACGATCTAAAGCCCCTAGTGTCTGCTTGTCAACAGTGTTATAGATGCACCCACGTAGTAGCGGCTAGAGGTCTCTTGATTACAGCCTCCGCCCTGTGATGCAACAGTGCCAGCGCCCCTGAAGCACTGGCCTGGCCTGTTTGCTCGCTCCCTCGCCAGTTCTTTATTCTGTCCTTTATTTGCTTCTCTCCTTGTGTGCATATTGCTTTTCCAGCTCTCTCTCTACTGCTGGAAGTTGTATTGTGCCATGTTACTCCAGTAGCAAACATCCTTCAGGCAGTGCTCTATAGAAGCACCTCACAGCAATGAGGTAGAAAGTACGTGCAAATAAGCACTCTGCTGAAGGGGAGAAGCGGGGGGTTAACTAAGTCCCATTGACTTTAATGGGAATTAAGCATGTCTTTATGCACGGATTGTGGAATTGGAGCTAGTATCTCAAACTGTCCAGGCAAAGTCCCCTCAAGACTTCCACATTGGGAATACTGGGGCTAAGGTAAAGCACTGGGGTGTGTTTAAAAAAAATGGGGGGAAAGGAGGGAAGGAAAGAGGAGGCTGAAAGAGGCACAGCAGCCCTAGAACAGAGATGATTGGTGCAATGGAAAAACAAGAATAATGCTCCTGGTTGGTGCAAAATTGCAACTAATCTCTAATTACATTTAAACTTTGACAGGGTGGAGCACCTTCCCCATTTGACAGGAACTTTGGGACAAAAATCTCTGCAAAAGCTATACAGTGGATCTCAAAGAAACTGAGAGAAACATACCGAAGAGGTGCAGAAATATTTATGGCTATTTACCATCTCTCTCTTCCTTTTGTGTTAACTCCAGAAAAGCCAACCTCTCTAGCCTTTCAACACGTTTGAGGAGTCTTTAAATACAGTAATGGAAGAATGTAGTTCTTCCTGTCTTACCAACTTCCCCAGGCTTTGTTATAGAATATTGTTAATGTGTTTCTAGGTGGCAGTGACAAGAAAATGGCTCCTGAAGAGAGTTTGATACCTTAAACAAGGATTGTTTTTCTATGATTTGCTAGCCTAACTAGTTTTTTTTTAATGCATATAGAAATGGATAGTTTTATAGTTACATGTATTCTTCCTTTTTTCGTTTTGTTTCTTGGTGGCTGCATGGGACACAGATGAAGGTAATATGACTTCTTTAGGATTTATTTCATCAGCTTCATGAAGCAATAGTGACTATAATAAATCTAATTTTAAATTGGAAGTTAAGTACATTGCATCTTTACTGCTTAATCATTATAACTAATAAACCACAACACAGTGGAGGTTTCCCCTAACACTGTTAAACAACTAATGCAGATGCTATAGTTTACTTTAAAACTTCAGTAACAACAAAATTAAGAATCTTACCAGAACTTCACTCCTACATCCATTTGTTTATTACAAGAAAAGGGGTAATTCTCCCCCAAAGAAAATAACATTGCGTTGTTATTGTTTATAGGAAAAGTGTTTGCCAACACCGAAGACTCAGTTTGTTTGCTAGGTATGCGCAGACGCAATCTTCTTTTCCAACCTGTGGTTGAGCTTAAGGATCAAGCAGATTTTGTGTAAGTGAAGGCAGCTCTGTGGGACCAGATGAGTACAACTTCCAGTCCTCCTTTTTCATCCCTCCTGCCCTGCTCCACGTCAGGCACTAACTTCACCAGATAGCCCCAACCTACCTTTCAACATTGCCTCCTGCTGTTGCTAGGCCTATGATGGTGGCCTTGGACCATCCCCTCATCTACTTTTCCCACAAGCAACTGCATGTTTTCTCCAGGCTGCCCCTTTTGCTTGAGAAGAGCTCCCTGTGAGAATTCAAAGCTAATGCTGTATCTTCTTAAATCCCTCCTCACAACCTGTCTTTGCTGCAATGCCTGCAAATCACTGTCTGGTATTGTTTAGAGTGGCAACCCCTTGTGCCTAGTGAGACCAGTGTTACAACTAATTTATGCATACTCAGCCACCTCTCTTAGCATCTTGTTCTCCCCAACCCTCTCCCATCTGGCTTTTTATGAACCTGTTGGATTTTGTTTAATTGTTAGCCTGAGTTCTCTGGAATAGGGATTATCTTTGCGCAGGGCCTAGTGTAATGAGGTCCTTATGTCTTGCTGCAATAGAAATAATAAATTGCTTAGAGTTTGCTGAGATGGGAGGGTTAGGTGGCAAAATAGCAAGATGGGGAGGAGATTGAATTCATGCATGTTTTAAGGCTAGCTGGAGATGTACTTGGAGGTCAAGATAATCATTTACTGTCTGCCACAACCTCTCTCCAAAAAATTGTTAAACTAAAAAGCAAATGCATCCAACTAGTAACTTAATTTTCTACGTTCCTGTCAATGAGCATAGATGGCAGCATTACTCTCACAAAAATGAACCTAAGAATCATTGAATGCAGCAGAGTTGGTCATTAATATATGCTGATAAGAACTGCCCTTATAAAACTGCTTATAATTTGAATGAAGCCAACTTTAATAGTGAATTTGGTTCTTAGGGATAACGTCAATGGAATCGTTTACACAGAATAGCTTTGACTTTTTTTCCCCCCCTCCCCATCTTCTGCACAGGCACAGAATTCCTAAGGAACAGTGGTGGCTGAAACTTCGACCTCTGATGAAAATTCTGGCCAAATACAAGACTAGCTATGATGTTTCAGATTCAGGTCAACTAGAGCATGTAGCTAGGCACAGCCCAAAAGAAGCAGATACTGGAGCTATCTAAGAAGAGACCATTATTTTAGATAAAGTTGTAATAGACCTACGTTGTGCGTAACAATGCTTTAGAATATTCATTACAGCTTTGTTTGTAACATTTAAATTATTGTACCAGCACTTTATGTGAATTCAGACATGCAAACATCACACAAGTTCCTTGCCCAGTATTATCCTAGGTTTAAAGCAAACCCTAGCATCTAACTTACAAAATACCAGTAACTGGCCTGATCCTTAAGTTTAACACAATTCTATGCACTCAGTGTGATAAGTCATTCATCTAGCGCACTTTATCTCAGAGATAGAGTCTATACTCAGAATATATGTAGAAGGCTAGTTTTGTGTCAAGTTACAGAGTGAATTTATGTATCCAAAGTGGAATAAAAGAATTGTTGCAAACCACCTGTGTGACTTTAAGTTGTCTAAAAACTAACAAATTACAACTGACGACAGGAGAACACCACTGTTGAAAGTAGGAGCAATTTTTATTTGCATTCTAAAAAGGAGGCAAATAACTGCTCTTTCTCCACTTGTAGAACAGGGGGAGGGATTAAGAGCAGGGCATCTGCAGATTTTTCTGTACTGCATCTGCACAATGAAGCTGCATTAATTTGAACTACCCTACACACCTCCCCCCAGAGAGGAAGTAACACACCAAAAATTACTATTAAATGCAATACTAAAGCTGTTAACCCTGTGAAGATGGCTGTTAACCTAAAGGACACACACAGGAGGTTATGTCTACATGGCAGCTGGGAGATGCGATTCCCAGCTCATGCTAGCTTGGCCCCAGCTAGTGTGCTAAAAATAGCAGTGTGGCCATCGTGAAATGGCTGGTGGCTCAAGCTACCCACCCAAGTTGGATTCTGCCTGACTCTGAGGATGTACTCAAGCAGCTAGCCTGAACCACGATGACCACACTGCCTTTATTAGGTGCTAGAGCCAACCTCGTGCATGCAAGTTTAACTGAGCTGGGAATTACACTTTCAAGCTGCTGTGTAGATGTACCTAAGGCAGGGGTGAAAGTAGAAATAGGGACTTACCAGTACGGGGCTGGGTTGGGGCTGGCTCTGGCGGTGGGGTAGCAGCGGCAGCCGGTGGCTCCGGCAGCAGTTTAAAGGGCCCAGGGCTCGGCTGCTGCTACCACCCCGGGCCCTTTAAATAGCCCCCGGAGCCTTGGGGTACCGGCGGCGGGTCTCCAGTGGTTATTTAAAGGGCCCAGGGCAGTAGAGGCGGCGGGAGCCCCGGCCCTTTAAATAACCCCCGGAGCCCTGCTGCCGCTACCCCAAGGCTCCAACAGCAGGGCTCTGGCAGCAATTTAAAGGGAGCTCTGTGAGCCCCAGGCCCTTTAAATTGCCGCCTGGGGAAGCCAGGCTGCCTCGGTAAGCTGTATCGGGGCGTACCAGCTTACTTTCACCTCTGCCTTAGGGTAAGACTACACTGCAGCAGGAAGCATGTCTCCCAGTGTGGAGAGACAGACTCACATTAACTTCACGAGATCGATCACACTAAAAATAGTGTGGCTGTAGCTGCTCTGGCAGAGGCTCAGGCTAGCCACCTGAGTCCAAAACTGGCTGGCTAGCCTGAGCTGCACTGTCCACACTCTTATGTTTAGCATGCTAGCTCCAGTGAAACAAGTCTGTCGACCCATGCTGAGAGGCTCACTCCAAGCTGCAGTGTAGACATACCCACAGAAGTCATGCTAACTAACCTCAGCTTCTCTCAGACAATAGGAAAACCCTCAATCACACCCAGGACCAAGGACTGTTTTCTGTGATCAGCTGAAACATGTGAAACCAGGTTATAATCACGACGGTTAAGTTACATTGACACAGCAGTTTTTTCTCCACAACACAATTGTGGCTGTCTCAACATTTTAGCTGTGGAACCTTAGCCAAAAGGTAAACAAAGGACAAAAACAGCACCCTGAGAATTCCATTCACTACTCGGAGGAAGAACAACTGGCTCAGGGTCACACAGGTAGGAGCTCCATCAAAATAGCCCTGTTATGAATAAAACCACCTTTTCCCCTTCCTGTAGCTATCAATTATTAGCCATACGTTGTATAGAGGACATGTTTTGATCCAACACTGCCACTCTATCATTAAAAACGTAAGTTGTAGTGTAGACACAACACAATGTAACAAGAACAGTTATGCGCAACTTATGGAAAACTCAACACACTAGGAAAGACTTATGAAGTACCAGTGTAGGTGTAACAAATCTGTTTATGCCCAACAGTGGAGGTTTAAAAATACAGATATTGTAAGAAAACATGATTTAAGCTAAACACATTTTAAAATTCAAGTCTTAGCATGGCTTTTAAAAAATAATTTGTATATTTAGAAGTTATTAAAATCCATATTTTTGTGCCACAGCAGTTAATGCTTATGGAAGAACTGAAGAGTTGCTTTAGCCATAGATGAACTAATAGTTTTCATTCTTAAATACAATGCAGTTGTAGAGATAAACCTTCTTTGGCAGAGTTAATTTCTTTGAGGAAAGAGCTGAGTGGCTTGTTGCATGCAGAGTAAAGAAGTTGTAATGACCTTTCACTTGGACCTTTGCAGGAAAATTAAAAATTCTAATGTGCCTTAGTCACTTATGAATTGGATTGTTTTATTTCTCTTAAGCCATTTTCAGTAACAAATGTTATCGTTTGACCCAGGATGGATCTTTGGCAATGTGCGGATTCTCTGGGCCTAGTACAGCCAGTCCTCGGGTGCTCTTCCCACCTGCAAGGTATCTGCAAGAGAGACATATTATGAAAAGCCACCACATAACTGTTGAAGTGTAAGTCACATTATACTCATTCTGAAAGCAGCCTGACACATTCCAATGAAACCTTTCACCTATACAGTACCTTCGCACAACCAATGTCAAATATTCGCATTAGGGCTACCCTGTACCATTATGCCTAATTTTAAAACTGATCGGTTTGAGCTAGTCAACTTTTGTTTTGAAGTATCTGAAAAAAAAAAAAAATCGGTAAGGTGTTTGTTTCTCCTTTCCCCCATAGTTAGCGCAGGTCCTCATATTTTTCAGCTCGGTGCTGAACCTAAGCAACAGAAAACAGGGGAACAGATGGGCAATGCCAGTTTTACTTGACATACTCTACCACCTCTTTTGCCCATGTGAGTATCTCTCCATTTCTCCCAGATTGAACTCTAACACACTTTAGCCAAGACAAAGAATAATCGCTTACTTACTGTAACTGGTTCTTCAAGACCCTATGCCCTTTCAGCTGTGTGTTTCTCCCCAACCTCACTTGGGGCAACTAACTTAATATGACGGGACTGGTGAGAACAATACAAAAAAAAAAAAGAGGTGCATACTTGATAGCAGAGCAAAGGGCTACTCCAAAGAGCACACAAGGGCAGGATGTCACTTTCTTAAAAGGAAATAACATTCTAGCCCATTAACAGCATGAACACTAGTCAAACTGGTGAAGATGATTTACGCCTCCCTGCTTAAGAGGCACTGGGCACAGCAGTCCCTTGAGATTCAACATCCCTCAATTGTAAACAAAACATTTAATCTTTTAAAGGGACTGTATGTTTCTATGAATAAGAATGAGAGTGGCAGTTAAACTGCATGGGGTAAAAGTTGCACAGACACTAATTACACAATAGTAGGAAGAAACTTTCCTGTGATACACACTCCCCCCAGCAGGTATTCAGAGAAAGGTGAAAACATTGGATACCTATTGGAGACAAGATCCCAGTCCAGGTGGCCCATTGACCTGATGCAATATATAATTCAGTATGGTTTAGTATACAATTTTATACCAGTGATTTGCAACCAGAGGTACATGTACGCAGCGCCCTTCCAGGGAATACATCGACTCCTCATCTAGATATTTGCCTAGTTTTACAACAGGCTACATAAAAAGCACTAGCAAAGTCAGTACAAACTAAAATTTCATACAGACAACTTGTCTAGACTGCTCTATATGCTATACACTGAACTCTAAGTACAGTATTTATATTCCAAATTATTTATTTTATAATTTATATAGTAAAAATTAGAAAGCAAGCAATTTTTCAGTAATAGTGTGCTGTGACACTCTTGTATTTTTATGTCTGATTTTTGTAAGCAAGTAGTTGTTAAGTGAGGCATAACTTGGGGGTATGAAAGACAAATCAGACTCCTGAAAGGGGTGAAGCAGTCTGGAAAGGTTTTGAACCACTGATTTAGACACCTATAAGCAGGCAAAAAATGGTAGAACTGAGTCTAGAAAAGCAAATTCAAAACAAAAAGGACTAAATCTGGAACCATCTTGTTTGAGCTGAAAAAATAAACAAACCGTTTGCTGTTCTGCTTCTGACTGGATCAGAATCTCAGCAAATTAAGAACTTCAACAGAGTTCACAAACAAATTAAAATGTTGACTAAAAAGCTAAATGGAAAACGGCAATACTCCTTTCACAGGCACAGTGATGATATGAATGCAGGTACAGAAAAACAATTACATCACAGTGGTCAGAGGTCATGAGAAATGTAATAATTCAAACCTTTACCAGCTATTTTACATCAGACCGATTTTAATCTGAAATTCTTACAAGGGATCTGGGTTCACTTGCATTTCAAAAATGAGCACAGACTCACTTGTTTGCTACATCAATAAGGTGATCTCTGCTGACAGCAAAAAGCTGCTCCCTGTGTCTCTGCTTCATCTCATTGGAGATACCATTCAAGAAATGATTCATCCCTAAAAGGGAAAATGTGACTTGGTAAGTGTACGGAGTCTTAGGTATCGAAGGATAAATGCACAGAGTACCCCAAAGCAGGATAGGTTGGGAGAGGAATGAATACAGTCTGCAGCTAGTTAATAGCTAAACAATTCTACGCTCGTCATAAAAAGTACAGTACGAACTTCTAATTGTTAACCACTGTCAAGGCTAGAGATGAGCAGAGAATGGACGTTCCATTTTGTGGAGAATTTAAAAAAAAATGTTTTGACAAAATCAAAAAGTTTTGATTTGAACTTATATAATACAAAATGCAAAAAAAATAACCAAAAAGCCATTTGGAAGGAGAAAAAAAATCTAAATTTATTCCCAAAGTGTCAAAATGGGACATTTTGACATTGTCAGAACTTTTTCCCTTTTTTCTCCAAATAGACTTTTGGTGAACTCAGAATGATTTCATGAAGGTTTTGATTTTAGCAACTGTGTTATCCAATGGAAAGCCGTTCTGTCAGAATTTTGCAGCCAGCTTTAGTCAATGCTGCTAAGACAAAGATCTGACCCATCTTTTTTTTCTATATACGGTCCACATAATTCTGCAAACAAATGCTTCTATATACTCACAAGAAATCCGGTAACAAGAATCACTTCAGTGATCAAAGAGGTTAAAAATAATCACAGATGGACTTCTTGACACTGCAGCTTATGACCCAATAAGGGGAACATTAAGCAATCACCATACATTTATGGCTCTACAGCTCCATTCAACTGTCTCTTCTCTCCCCTTCTAGCTACTGGGAGGGATTTTAAGGGTATTCTCTTTCCTCTCCTCTAAATTCCATCTCACTGGAGGAGCTAGGAGACAGTCTCATTCATTTCCTCAGTCCTTATGAACATTGCTATTTTCAGTACTTCACGAACTTTGCCTGATACCAGTTGGAGTGTGAGCAGCTCCAGACTAGCCTGTGCACTGCATAGGAGTGCAGATCAAGCACCAAAGGATGAGAATCATTACCCTTTGACAAGCCACCAGCATGTGACATTAAAGCATTTTGTTCACATATGAGCACCTGAAAATTGACAGTGCCTAGCCTGTGTTCATTGTTCAAGGTAACAGGCAGCAAAAGCCCATGAATGGTGGAAAAGTAAAAAATGTTTGAAGTTGTTTTTATGTAATAACCTAAATGGCCTTGCTTGTGTTAACACTTTACAAACATTAAGATTCAAAAATCAATGCATGTTCCTTTATTTATACTTAAGGGGTGGAGTAGGTGCCTTAACTTTAAGTTTTGGTTTGGATTTAGCAGCAGGGGAGGAGTTGTTCTCTCAAACTACAAACTATTTTGAACTGTGTTTAAAAAAAGTTCTTAAAAAAAAAAAAGGGAGGAACCATTCATCATGGCATCCAAACATGCAGCTAATTTTACTATTTATACTTGGTACTTTTCATTAAATATCTCCAAAGCACCAAACAACTTTATGCTTTCCCCATCTCTAAAAATAGGAAGCAGAGGGGTTAAGCAAATTCAGGATCGGTGTATGCATTTGGCTAAAACAGGTATATAATCCATACACTTTTCCAAGTATTCCATTTAACCAATAGACCTTTATAATTTTTCTATGTGCTAGAACAGGTGCAATTTGTTGAGGCTGAGAAAGACAGGTTAAAGGGTTAGTTATTTCTTTAAGTTCCTCCTATTCTCCCATGACAATATTATGATCACAAGCAGCAATAAGAACAGTTCAGTGGAAAGACATCACACGTGATCTTCAAGGTGAGCAGTAGCATCTCGCTGTTTTATAGATACGAATCCTTCCGTTAAATCCACTGATGCCAAACATGAGCTTATGAAAGGGATTAGATGAGCAGAGTAGGACTCATTCACTTCCTTCTAAGCCTAGCTAGAACACTGGATTCCCATGCCGGGGAACTCAGAACATAGAACGTACCTTTGTCTGAAGGAGCTATAGGAGCATCTACAGCTGCAAACACTGCAAGCTTGGCTTCCTCAATGTCTTGCTGTGCAAATTCCCCCGACTGAGCCCATTCCGCTGCTTTTTCAAAAGTTGAAAAGGTGGATGTGGAATTTGGATCCCTACCAAATGAGAGGAATTACTTTTGTATTACAGACGACAACCTGAGTCTGTACAACTTTGAATACGACGTTTGTTTTAAAACCCACTGCCTTTCATTCAAAGATTGCTAATCACTCACCAAATTCTATAAACTACATCGAGACCACACACATACGCACATGCACACATATCATACCAGATGAAGGCAGCTGCGTTCATACAGCACATAGAAACACTAGACAGTAGTTCGAGATAAGGAGTATTTTATTCAACAGAAGTTATAGCAGACTGTAGGTGGACAGTGGGCCAAATTCTGTAGTGATGTAAACAGTTTCTAAGCTGTATCATGAAAAAGATACAATTAAATGCAAGTGCTAAATCAGTGCAACTTGCACAGATTTGGCATTCAGCAGGTGTGCAAAACATATAAAATCTACAGTGATATATTATTTGGGGACCAAATTTAGTGCCTGGCATAAGCAGGTGCTACTCTCGTTAGTATCAATATCAGTTATGCTTGCTTACTCCAAGGATGAATTTGGTCCACGAGTTCTGGAGATGGTATAGCATAAGGTGGGGTGGGCAGAGGTTACACCTGCCTGTACAATTGCTTTTCCTGCTATAACCACTTTCTGTCCCTCAGCCTGTTACACCCATTTTGCAAACTTACTGAGGTCCAAATTGGTGAAAATTACTCTAGGTCGTAACTCACACCTGCTGTGTGGCTGACACAAATGCTTACACCACCACTCAATTTAGCCCAAAGCCTTCTGTGGGAGCTGTGCTTGGCTGCATGCAACCCATTATAATTATTTAATTAGGCTAGGACAGTGGGCATATACCCCATCTCTGGTGAAGAGTCATGGCGTTAGTTACCACGTGGTTAGGATCTCTGTTTCAGGTCTAAGATGAACAGCAGAAGCTTCAGTAATAATGTGTCTCTCAAGACCAGACAGGAACAATTGTTCAGGGCTAATGAAATAGATTACACTTTTTCTTTATGTCACCAGCACCTCTTTCTGCTGTAATCAAGTCTTCCTTGGAGGTGTACAGCCCAATCACCCCACATGGAGTCCTCTCTGGTTCTGATAGGTAGGGGAGAGGCCAGGGCTTTTGGGAGAAGCCAGTTTAGATCTATATGCCAGGAACCTCACTACCTCCCCCAGCTATTGTTCTTAAAATGCCTAAGTTCCCTCTCTTCTGCCAGGACCCATCCCCATTGCCAGGCCAGGAAGAAACAAGCTGAAGCTGGCATACAGTTCAGGCTGGTGGTAAAATTGGCACACTAGTCATCACATACCCTGTTGCCTCCTTATTCAGTGTAACAGCTACCACCAAGCATGGATAAGTGAAGCCTAGGATGAGAGAGGGGTTTTACTGAATCCTGGGAGGAGCAGGGAGAAGGGGAGAAAGCCAGAAGCCAAGTGACAGATCTCAGTGATGTCAGTGGTAAGCCACCTCTTTCCTCATCTCTATCTCAGCCTCATTTTCTTGTCCTATACAATTCACTTACAGTCCTGGCAGGTAAAGTTAAATGGGGTCTGAAATGATGGCTGCATATGCAGAGACAATGGCTACATTTTATAGACGGACTCTACAGGGGACACACAGTGTTACCTGTAAGAATAGAAAGTGAATATGCCACTATGACTGAGTGTAGCACCTCCTCCGTAAGCACCTCCTTTCTCTCTGATCTCCCTATGCAAGAATTTAGCTGTCATCAACCGTGCAAGGATCCGAAGGCTGAAACAAAAGATTAAAGCATAGGTGTTAAATCTGCCCTCTGGCATTTGATATCAGATCTACCACCTCTCCTCTTGACCAGAGTTTTTCAAAGATCTAAGTTATACAAATGAAGTATTCCTAATTGCACCCTACAGTAACAATGATGATGTAAGCACAAAATTGAAGAATTTTAAATGGTGCCATCTTCAATACAGTCTCTTGACTTCTGCATATTAGAATAGCACTACCATGATGCTCCCTAACTTTCCTAAATTCTTTAAATTTCATCCCCCTCCATGAAATGTAAAGTTCTCTAAGCCTCTTCTTTTGTCACATACCATGTCATCATATACACAAAGGAACAGGATCAGAGTGTGTAGGGTCCTCCTTCAATTTGGAAGTTATAATTAAGTTGCTTTTGGTACCCAAATTCTAACAACGTGGCAAATTCTGCCCTTGGAAAAAGACTTCAGCAGGAGTCATGAGCAGAACCAGGGTAGATTTTGACCCAATGACTCCACCCTCCCTTACAGAACTTGTTATTTTTAGGCAATTATTTAAACACAATTAGATCAACAGCTGTGCAAAGACTGCCCTCTAGAGGATTTCTCATGAGTGTGCTTCAAAAATATATAAAGGTTACTGACCTGTAACTGCAAATTCTTTGAGATAGGTGATCCCTATGTGTATTCCACAAGTTGGTGCGCATGCAAGCCATGCGCCCAACTCTGGAAATTCTAACAAGCAGCGTCCACTGGCCCGCACATGCATAGGAGCTCATCTCATGCTCCAGACCGAAGACATAAAAGGCGGTGCAGGCCAATGGCTCTCCAGTTCCTCTTCTTACAAATCCAAAAAGATCCAAAGGGACAGAGGGGGTGGCTACTGGAATATAGACTGGGACCACATACCTCAAAGAACTTCCAGTTGCAGATAAGTACTTTCATCTTCGAGTGCTGGTCCCTGTGGTATTCTACATGTGGATGACTGACAAGCAGTATTCAGACTGGAGTGGGGTGCAAGGATGCTGGCAAGAAAGATCCTTGAACTACTGCAGTTCCCACTCAGGATGTGCCTGTGTCCGCAGCAGAGGCTTGAACTTGCGTGCAATGTTTAACTCTAGCTAGCCGCCCTGCATATGTCCAGAGATGGTGCTCTGTGCAGTGATGCTGAAGAGGCAGCTTGTGCGCTAGTGGAAAGTGCCCTTACCCTGTCAGGTGGAGGGATATGTGCCAACTGGTAGCACACAATGATGCACACACAAACCCATTTAGAGATCCTCTTAGAAGATATAGTTTGTCCTCGTGAACTCTTTGTAAGAAAGAGCCTAGGAGATTTCCTGATAGATTTGATCCTCTGCAGGTAGAATGCTAAGGTGTGTCTGATGTCAAAGGACTGAAGCTTCCTTAACGGAGGTCTGGTGTTTTGGGAAGAAAACAGGTAAGTGGATAGCTTGGTTGCCATGAAATTCCAAAATAACCTTGGGGAGAAATTAAGGATTCAATCAAAGAAAGACCTTTTCCTTGTGAAAAAACAGTATACAGTTGGTCTGCCATGAGGGCTCCGAACTTGCCCACCATCTGAGGTAATAGGCACTAATAATATGACAGGTGGAACATGTTGCCAAAGGTTCGAATGGCAGCCCAGTGAGTGCTGACAGTACAAGACTGAGGGCCCACTGAGGTGTAGGTTTGATGATTAGCAGAAAGGTTCTAATTAGGCCGTTCATAAGCCTCACTGTTGTAGGATGAATAAAGACAGAATGCCCATCTATTGCAGAAAGGAAGATTGTTCAGGTGAACACCCAACCCATAAGGGATGAGTCTGTTACAATGGTGACTGTGGAGGTGGGAGTGACAAAGGGGAAGCCCACTCTCACTCAGAGACGACTCATACCTGCTGATAGTGCTGGGGTTACAATTTAAATGTACGGCCACCCCCAGAACAGGGGGAGTCATGCCCCCTCCCAGGCAAGTCTCCCACCTTAACCTGTCTCCCTACCCGGAAAGTAGCAGGCCTCACCCTGCAGCTCCCAGCTGTTGCTCCTACCTCTCCCGATGGGGCGTGGCTCACAGCTTGCCGGCTCTAGCAGATGCCACACAGGGACCGGGCCTGGCCACATCATGTGACCAAGTGGGACTGACAAACCTTGGGAGAAATCTGGGGAGCACGTGACCTACGTACTGTCCCATACGTCATCTCTGCTCTCACTTGATCTGGGTTCAACCACCAGGTAAGAGATACGAGGACTCTGGTGGGAATAGTTACCGTGGTGTTAATGTGATCCTTTTCTGAGGAGTACACTGAACAGAGCCAGGCTTGTAAGCAGCATTATGAAACCTGGGGAATGAGTCACATAAGTGCATGAGGCCATGTGGCCTAGGAGAAAAAGACACATCCTGACTGTAAGGCCTTGGCTATACTTGCACTTTATACTGCAATAAAGCCTCCCAGAGTGCTCTACCTTACTCCCTGTCCACACTGGCAAGGCACGGAGAGCGCTCTGACTCCCTGGCTAGAGCGGTCTTGGTACTCCACCTCCCCGACAGGATTAATTGGCTGAGACGCTGCAGCTCCAGTGTAAACGAGAAGTAGGGATACTATGCACTAACTGACCTCCAGAAACGCCCCATAATTCCCTTAACTGAAGTGGTCGCTCTTGTCTTTGTTGTTAACTCAGGACGTGGAAGTGCCGTTTCAAAGCTTGGTTTCAGAGAACGGCTGCTTATCTGGTCAAACAAACAGCTTCTGTTTGCTTGTGTGTGAGTGAAAGAGAAGCAGGGGGCTCCCTTTGGAAGTGCTGACAGCTAATGTTTGCTTAAGAGTGAGTGAGTGAAGGGAGGGGTTGCCCTTTCTGACAGCGGCTGCTTATCTGGTCTGAGAAAAAAAACAAGCAGCTACTGTTTGCTTTGCGTGAGAGGGGGTGGGGAGGCTAGGGGGATCTGAACTGACAAGACAGTGTGCTGACACACTCTCAGCACCCCAAAAAACCACTCTCTCTCCCTCCACGCTCCCTGTCACACTCCACCCCACCCCCCCTCATTTGAAAAGCACGTTGCAGTTATTTGCATGCTAGGATAGCTGCCCACAATGCACTGCTCTCAATGCAGCTGCAAATGCTGCAAATGTGGCCATGCCAGTGCGCTTTCAGCTCTCAGTGTGGACAGACTGCAGCGCTTTCCCTACTGCGCTTTACGAAGGCTGGTTTAACTCAAAGCATTCTACAGCTGCAAGTGTAGCCATGGCCTAATTCTTGGTCTGTGTGTAATCTGTGCTATCAAATGCCTCATTAGCTGAAATATTTCCATGGGGAGGAAAGCTCTTGCTGTAGTGGAGTCCAGTGTCGCTCTGATAAAGTTTATCGTCTGTGCATGTATTAAAATGGACTTTTCTTTGTTTACACAGACTCCTACTGCTCCTAACTGCTGCAGCAGGAACAAAGTTACCAAACAGAACTCTGGACCAGATCGACCTACCAGGACCCAGGCACTGAGATAAGGGAAAACCCATATGTAACCCTGTCTCAATTGGACTGCCACCATAGAGAAGACTTCTATGAATACTGTGGGCACTGTCATCAGTCCAAAGGGGAGGACTCGGAACTGGAAATGCTCTTGAGCCACTAGAAATGAAGGAACTTTTTGTGGGACAGTTGAATATCTACATGGAAATAAGGATTCTTCATGTCAAGAGCCATGAACTACATTCTCTCCTGTCCTGAACTTTGACTTTTGAATAAAACTGTTCAGCTGTTGAGGGTCCAGAATGGGTCTCCAACCTTTGTCTTTTCTGGGGACTTAGAAGTAAGGGGAATAGAACCCACTTTCCTTGACACTGAGGTGGTACTGTTTTATTGTCCCTTGTAGGAGAAGGGATGCCTGGCAAAGAATCACCTTGTAAGTGTGATCCTTGAAGGGGGACTGGGAAGGAGGGTTGCATGGAGGGAGGAAGGGAGAAACTCTATGGAGTATCCTTGATGTATAATTTCTAGAACACAACTGTCTGTCATGATGGAATCCTAATTATGGGTGAAAAGTGTGAGGTGGCCCTCAAAGATCATGGGGGTAGAAGTGACTGGCATCAATAGTGGTAGATGGATCTCAACTGTGCATCAAAAGTAGCCCTTGGCAAGTGGCTGAGAATGGGCAGGGGTCGTGGTAGTAGAGGTGGCTGAAAATCAAGGTCTCTGAATCCTGTCATTTACAGGGAGGCTGAGTGTTGACTGCGGAGGGGGCGGCCTGGGTCTGTATCCCTCCCTTTGTTGCATTCTCCATGGGGCTGTGGTGTAAATCCCCAGGGAGTGTAGAGTCATCCTCAAGTCTTTCAGCAAGTGCAGGGACTTGTCCATTTTCTCAATGAACAATGAACAAACTCAGCTCATCGAAAAGCAGGCTCTGTTTGGTGTTCTGGACCCCCCCTGGGAAGCTGTGAGTAGTGAAGCTAAGACTCATGCCTCATGACTATGCCAGGGGATAAGTCGCTGGATGCAGTGTCAGCTGCATCTACCGCAGCTTGAAAGGAAGCCTTAGCCACTAATTTGCCCTCCTCTAAGAGAGACTGAAACTGGGCTCTGCCAACAGAGGGAAGATTGTCCTTAAAATCGTATTTCACTAATGAGGCCTGATAGTTAGCGATACAGAATTGTAAGCTCATAGAAGAGAAGACCGTTTTCCCCATAAGGTCCGATCTTTTTGAGCCCTTGTCAGCCAGGGTGATCTTGGGATGCTGTGACCTTGCTCTCTCCATGGCTGCATTGGAGTTGTGCGCTGGGTGGGAGAAGAAAAATTTAGCCCCTCTGGCAGGGACATAATAGCATCTCTCAGCCCTCTTAGATGTGGGGGTGTATGAGTCTGGAGTGTGCCAGACTACTCTGGCTGGCTCCATGATTGCCTTGTTAATCCAGAGCGCCACCTTGCTTTGACTAGATGTGGAATCCTGGACCTCCTCCAGTGTTGTCTGGAGGTCACTGGCAATTGTATGAAATAGCTCCTGGTATTGCCTATAGTCATTTGGTGAAGATAGTGAGAATCGAGTGACGGCTTCATCTGAAGACAAAAATGAGTTTCCTGTCAATACCAGCAGATCCAGGTCTATGTCCTCCTTCTCATAACTCCAGTGGTGCCACGTAGAAGAGTTGTTGTAGGAGTTGTGGACAGATCCAGGGCATCTTCCACAGTGATGCCAGAGCCCCCAATAAGGCCAAAAAGGCAGGATCGACTTGCATGTGGGGTGCAGCCCACGGCATTGTGCACCAGGGATCCCTAGGGAAGTCAGATCTGGGAGGATGACGCTCAAATCTCCTTGACAGTCTATCGTGGCTCAGCTCTCTACAAGGAGATGACGGAACAGCAAGAGCGTCCTATCCAAGTCCGACAATTGCTCTCACTTCACTGGTGGGACCAACAATACCGGAGGGTTGGAGAAGGGAGGGCTCCAGTGACAACAAAACACAGCTTTGTCCTCTACTGTGGCACTGTCCCTCACAAGCACCAGGCCAGAGAAGAGAAAAGACTGAGCGTAAGGGAGGAATATATCCTCCACTGTAGTATAAAATCGTCCATAAGACTCAGTGCTTGAGGCTGATGGTTCTGACTCATCCCAGGAAGTGGTAGCCAGGTGGTCCTTAGGAGGATGGGACAGTACTGAGGAAGAATCAGGCCCAGCACTTCTGGATTGAGCCAGTGGGTGTCAGTCCTTGTGTTTTGGAACTGGAGCTACCAATGGCTCCTTTTTGCATACGTTACCCTCCAACCTGGGGGTCTTTGGTGGTCCTGGACCCACCAGATTTGCATGCAAATGCTAACCCAGCTTGGATGGGCTCAGGGAAGGTTCCTTTCCTTCTTGGGCAGATCCGGAAGGCCATCTTGCCTTACGAGTATCAGAGAGTGTTCCTTTGTCTCATGGGAAACCCAGGAAGAAGAGTTTTTGGGCTAAGCAGCTGTAGATTCCACTCCTAAACTGGTGGTCAGAGGGGTGCTGCTCATCTGATGGGACAAATGTACTGGGTCGGGGGGAGAGGGTATCCCTGGCCTGGATCAGAGGGAGGCCTCATAGCCTTCTCCATAAGGTGCTTTCTTAATCAAAGTTCACAAGCTTTGCAAGTTCGCAGCAGAAAAGTGTGACAGATGCTGCACTTTGCAGCAATATATGTGTCTCACCCAAACAATAGAGACAGGGTCGGTGATTGTCCTTCATGGAAAAGGAGCAAGGGCAGGGGAGATGGTTCTTGAACCCTAGGACTTGAAAGCACAGTCCCAGACCACAGGGGTCCACAGTATGGGGGGGGGTGTGTGGAAATACCTTACCTATGCTAATAACTAACTATGCTAATATGAACTATACCATCTTTAGTAAATTTTTTTTTTTACTACAGAGTACAAGGATAAAAGCTGGAGAAACATGTGGACACAGGGATTCCAACTCAGGTCATGCGGCGGTAAGAAGGAACTGGAGAGGTGTTGACCCACACTACCTCTTATGTCCTGGGTCTGGTGCACAAGGTGAACTACTGTGCATGTGTGGGCCAGCGGACACGGCTTGTTAGAATTTCTGGCCTCTGGAGCTTAGCACGCATGCACACCTACACAGAGACCAGCACCTAAAGAAGAATTTCTGCATACATCCTGGTTAATGGTTTTCAGTCTAAAACTAGGTCAGTTTTATTTTTACACTGCTGATCCTTTCTATTTCCCACCTTGCATAGTCAGGAGCTGTGTAGGGAACAGTTCGAATGCATTCTCCAACATAATTCACTGGGAAGGGAAGTAGAAAATGGGTCTTCATCTGACATGGTTTGAAGGTAGGCTCCTGAGAGAAAATTGCATCTGGGTTGATTAACATGGCAGTTAGAGATTTTAAGTAGCTACAATAGTCCATTCATTTGAGAATATTAGCACCATTGCATACTTCTTAATAAGAGCCTCACACTCAAACACCAGCACCCACGCATTCAACCTAGCACTGGTTATTTTGTTAAAAAATGATGAAACTGTGCACATGCCCCCTTGTAATACTATTATCAGACATACTGAAATTGTCTTGATCTACTACAGCACAGGGATGTTGTACAAATACTGCATCATCACACTACACATTCTCAGTTATGCAATCCCTGTACCTTACTGGACCAGGAGTTCCCTCTCCTCTCTGCAATGCCTTCAGAACTAACCATTCATCCCACCTAACTTGAGATACAAAAATAAAATAAATTACTCTTAGTAATTGGGGGTGGGGTGGGATGTCTGTGTAAAAGGAAGCCATCAGGGGCCAAGTAGAGCCAAAAGAGGAACTATTAAGAAGTCTAGGCTTAGGCAGCATGTCAGGATGAGGCGAGGGTCAGATTTCATGGCCACAGGCCTTGGAAGTTCCGAGAACAGCATCCAATGACAGTGCAGGATGAGAAGGCACAACATATTTCAGTTAAACATGAATAACTGGAGAGTACAGTTCACTGCAATAACCATAAAAAGGGCCAATTAGATCAGTAATATGATTAACTAAAGTCAAATAAACTGTACTTACAGTAATTAATTTCCTTGTGATTTGTGAACAATTAAGCCTTTCCCTTCCAACAGGCATGAGCTCTGGAGACTTCTACAAATATAGGACTTTGTATTAGAGTTTCAAAAGTCAGAATAAGGAATATTACAAAAACTCCCGTTTTTTCCCCTAGGGTCATGCATCACCTTTTGCCCTCCTTCCCCTACAAACATCAAGGTATTCTGATTACTTGTTTCTCCTTGCATTTATGAGGAAACACTAAAATGGACTTAATCTCATGGATAACCTGCCAAAAAGCTGTGCCATATGATAACCTGAAATTCTTAAGGGCTGTATTGCCAGGCTTTAGACAATGACTGTGGGCTTCTCAATCCCTTCTATCGTGCAGCGGCCCAAGAGATTTACACAAGTTACTCCTCTCTTGGACGCAGTCCTTAAAAAAATTATTTCAGTTGTCTTATATGGTCCATGATCATAGATCAGAATTTGCTCCACCTGAGCGTGAACACCACTGAGCACGTATAACACTTCGCTAGATGTCCTAGCCCAGGAAGGAGTTATTCTACAGCTGAATGACTGTTTGGAGGAGCTGCAAGGCACAGGATCTCTCTCTCTGGAATACATCTTAAATGGAGCTCAGCTAAAGAGAAGTGACAGGACCCACGTGATGGGAGGGGAAAAAATCCCTCCTCCCCAACACCTGAGACAGCAATCGGGGTGTGGAGTACAAGTCCCAGTAGTTGAAATCAGAAGTTCAACCCCCACCTAATCAACCACTGAAGCCACACAGAGGTTTATACATTCTCCTAGAGAGGTGCCCTAAAAAGAAAGCTGTGATGTTCAGGGGCAGAAGGAAGCACATTTTTCATTAGCTGTGTGAGAAGCTACTGTTTTAGATTTTCCCTAAAATCTCCATCCACCCCTTAAATAGATAAATAGTTTGTGGTCCAGCAGATTGATATTCTACCCAGAAAATATTTACACTAGCTGGCATTATAAACTATTTTCATCATCACGGAGTTGAATAACTAAACAGTAAAAAGTGCACATTAGCTAGGCAGTTTGAAGGTCACATTGCATACTGAAGGAACTGATTTCTCTTTGAGAAGTCACAAGCCTCTTTGTATGGACAGGATGCATATAAGTTCACCAAACCTTTTGCCTTCCATTCGCATGCTACACAGCATTAGTCTGTCTACTATTAATCTTATTCGGTATATTAACTCAAAAATAGTGGCTAATGACAAATTTTACTCACAAATCAGATCTTTTTGCATACCTCAATCACATGGGGGCGGACAGGTTTTCTCTCTTTTTTGCTTCTAGTGATGCCCTTTAAAAAGTTTTCTACTTCTTTAGATGCTTGTGACATCTGTTGAGGTGTAGCATTCACTGAACATCTGTTTAAAAAAACAAAACCCTTATACATAGTAACCTGTTTCTTGCAGTTTTACAACCTTTTAAATTTCAACTATTTCCTGTCCTTGTACACGTTTTTTTAAGCATCCAAATCTCAGAAAATCTCTGTGCCAGTGACCCTGATGATAAAGACAAATTACAGCTGTAAATAAGGAAAGCAATTGACAATTCTGACTGCAATATACCACCAGTGCACTGCCATGAGAAACTCCCATTGGATTCTAATTGCTTTTCCCAAGACAGTGAATCAAAACTTGTTCAACAGCATCAGACTTAGCACTCTGTTAACAACCTGGCATTCCTACCCTGGAGAGACAGATAAACTATGTTTAAGCTTTAAAAGGCAATCTCTCCACACCACTATTACCAATTCTTTCTTTACAACTAGATCTTACCACAGATTCTTGCATTTAATAAAAAAACAACTATACTTAGGTCATTTCCCTGCCCCCAAATCAAGGTACAATATCCTGCAAATTAACAAATTCAGAACAAGTTTAGTAATTCAGTAGTAACTTTTGAAATTACAATGCCTGAGTGCAAGCATTTTGATTTTAGCATTTCATTCGCCTTTCTCAATATTTAAATACAAAGTGGAGTCCAAGACCTCACTATTTCTCCTTAGAAGCAGACAGGCCAAACCCACTTAAAAAAAGCCCAAAACACAGAACTTGGGCTTGGTTTTGGTTTAATTGGCTTGTGAGTTACTTGTTGGCTAGTTTTTGGCTTGTAGCTTGTTTGGCTCGTAGCAGCTTGTTGCTGCTTTTTTTTGACCAGGTCCCAGCAAGCAGGGGCTAGCGTCAGGGGTGCACAGTGGGCAAACCACAGTCCCAGACTGTACGCCAGGGGACTAGTCACATACAGTGTTGGGGTTCTTAGGGATTGGTTTATTCTAGCCTTGTTTTGAAATGGGTTTAGCTTGATTTTTGGCTTACTGTGAAAGTCAGGGTGCTTATTAACCGCATGAAAGTTGGCAACTGTGCTTAGAAGCAGGAACTTCTCCAACCTGAATTACATGAGTGTAAGGACATTAAGATTTTTCGTTGACTATTAACAGAAAAGGAACATTAGCAGGTTCTCACCTCATGTTATCACTGTTTAATAAATATTTCTTAATGCGTGGTAGTTTGCGTAGTACTGGTTTAATATCAGACATTTCTGCAATTCGCTTAATCAGTTTCACCTGAAAAGGAGGGAAGAAATAATCAGCGAATGTGTAGGTACTGTATACATTAGAATAAATAAGCACAGCATTATATAAGAGTTTGACATCAGTTAAATGAACCACCTCCCCTTTACCTGATCCATGCCATTAAACATTTCTTGTAACTCTCCGGCAGGTGTTAGGGTTTTGCTAGCTCGAACAGATGCATATAAATGCCCAGAATCAGGAATTCCATTTGACAGCTCTTGCGCAGTCATCTTAACCAGTACTCTAAAATGCTCCTCTTCTTCAAAGTGTGGGCTGTATCGGGAAAGGGAGAAAACAAAAGTCACTTGCTACAATAGTACAAATTCATTAAAAGAAAAAAGAAAAACCCAGACAAAGGAACAATGGAGAAAAACACAAGAATTCTCCTGATCTCATGCAGAAATGTTCTAGTCTACTTTAAAGTATAAAATGGTTCATTGTGATAAGTTCTAAAACTAGCCTTTACCCATTCAGCTGATTAACGCATAATATGGTTTGTATAGAGAGCAGACTATTTTGATTTAGAGCATGTTGAAATTAAGTTATGCAAAATCAGAATTGCCCCAGAAAAATAAAGTAGGAACTTTTTAAAAAAAAATTTTGAGGGAGAGGGGAAAGTAGAAGAGGGCCCAAAAACACACAAAAAACCAATACACTACTTGTTAAAGATTTCACTCCATAAGTGCATCATGTCTGGCAGATTTCTATCCAGGCACAGAGAAGAAAAGAGCACACCCTAAAGGAAAAAGGAAGATACTTCACACACAGGATAAACCAATAGAAGACAACTGAAATAAAGCCTGGAGAAACATGTGGTAGCATTTTATGAAAGTGGTTCTACAGTGTCAGCCTAATGGCCTACATCACAGAACAACCACCAGATTCACACTTTATTCAAGAGAGACCCACTGCTAAAACTGCAGAGCAGACAAGAGGTGTAGTTACACAGCTCTACATGAACGGTACCTTCCCTACTATAGGGTAAATCCTGCCCCATGTGCCAGTAAGAGTCAGCTTCTGTGCCTCTATGTCAGCCCATCACATCCAGATGGTAGTTAAATGTGGTGTAGAAGGAAGGCAGTGGGACTCTGGATCAAAAAAAGCTGTTCAGGGGATGAGAGCTCCTACAAATGAGTCCCTAATCTAATCCCCTAAAGAACCCTTCAGATATACTGGTTCCCCTCTCTCCATACACTGTGGGCAGTAACTACTGCACAGCAGTTACAGCAGGAGAAAAAGGACCACAACAGGTCAACATTAAGAAAAATTAAGAGTCTTAATTGGGTTAAGTGGGGAAGTCCTAACAAGTCTGACCCCTTATGAGCTTGACTATGAATACTCAATGTTGAATATTTGTTAACTATACATTCCTAGTGCACTACATATGTAGGTTTGGCAGCATTCTATTTTTTTATTATTTTATAATACCTGTCAATATCAATGTCTATCTTTAAAGCACTTTCAAAATTATATCAATTTAAATTGTCACAATGGGAGATATGGGGGAGATCAGACAATTTTTTTAATGACAGTAAATGTTGAGAGTCAAATTGTTAAAACTTTAACCATTATAACACAAATTGTCAACATCACATGTCAAAATATAAAGTAAATAGCCTTATATCAAACTCTAATAAATTTTCAAGCAACTTTTTTCTTACTTTGCCTATCTGTAAATTTCTATTATCATCAATGGAAATGTATTTTGGTCTGTGTGTGTACAGTGAAATCAATGCTTTCTGACAAAAATCTAATCCTTCCAAGTTTATATATATATATATTAAAAAGTCCTACACTTATGCCATACCCCTTTGTCACGGAAGAATTGAACCAGGAAAACATCTTTTGTTCCTTAGCTTTTTTTACGCTACTTGGATACTGTGGTAAGAAAGGTTATAAAAACCATCTGAAGATAAAACGTTACCTTTGGGATAAAGGTAAGTTACTGTGATGGTGAAATTTATATTTTCCATAAGTCAACAAAAGCTCACTTCTACACCAATTTTCAGCCCAATGTGATTTGAAATCACTGAAGTGTTCAACATTAAGCGCCTGCTTTATGGAGAAATTTTGCTCCACCCTTAACTACAGTGCAGTCAGTGTAATACAACAGCATATATTTTGTTATGATTTACCTGTTCATACGCATCCAGATGTGAATCATCTGGAATGATGTGTGGGCTGACAGACATGCCACCTGTTTTTAGCTCCATTTGCTGGGCTTGCTCTCTGTAACCAAGGGCTCCACAGCCCATTCTGTTAAAAAAAAAAAAGTAGTGTTTTATTTTCACCGAGTTCAATCATATAGTAAAACCAGAAACAATCCAAGTTGTCCAATACAAATACACAATGTAACTTAGAAGGGTAAGGTTAAGTAATCTGAGGCATTATCAAATACACGGGTTTTTTTAATTAATAAAGACACTAGTTGTTGTTTTTTTTAAATGTCAGCAAATACCCAATATATGCTATTAAACAAAGAAAAGAATTAAAATACATTTTTAATACACTATTTTGTATTTGATAAATAAAGTGGTTTACAAGCTTACTGGCTAACTGTCTCAGACCCTCCTCCATAATCAACATTATTTGTACTATTGAAGCATCACTGAAATTACAGAAAACAGAGGTAGAGATAGTGAACAATTCCTAGAACGATTGCTTTCTATCAATATTATTTCCATGTATTGTAACACATCATATCATCCTTAGAGCTTCAAATACACTAAATTATCTTACTTAGTAATGACACTGCAGAAGAGTGGCACATATGGTTTGAGTTCCTCTGGAAGTGTGTTCAAGCTGGAAACAGCTCTGAAATATACCATCCCATTGGTCGGCTGAGCACAGTACTGGACAGGGATTTCATCAGCTACAAACAAGAGAAGAACATTGCTGTCTGCATCCCTCACTTTGAGCACATCATAACTATGACATTTGCCAAAAGAACTTTATACTAGAGTTATTTTTGACACTGCAAAGGTAATAGGAAGCCACTTTCTGTTTTAATTGAAGGTATTGTTATGAGTCCTGGATTGAATCATGAGTTTTCTAGGCCAGTATATAGTTATACTCAGTAGGAATCACCTTCCAAATTACCAGATTGAGAAAGATCATTAAATATTTAAATTTTAGAGTCAGAGAAGGACAAAGTAGGTGTGGTAATATATTTTTATTGGACCAATAAACTACTGTTGGTGAGAGAGAGAGAGAGAGAGAGAGAGAGAAAACCTTTTGTTACATGGAGTTCTTCTTCAGGTCTGTGTAACTCGAAAGCTTGTCTCTCCCACCAAACAGAAGTTGGTCCAATAAAAGATATTACTTCACCCACCTTGTCTCTCTAATATCCTGGGACTGACACAGCTACAACACCACTGCATACAAGAATAAGAGAAAGCAGTCAAACAACTGAAAGGCAAACTGTTTTTGAAAACTGCACTAAGGAACCCTTTGTCCCTTTTTCCCCTTGACCCCATCATCTCCAAAGAATAGCTGTGATGTTTTCACTCGATGACCTCTCGAGGTCCCTTCCAGTCCTATAATCTATGAATTGTAAACAAAACCAGTGGAAAACTCAAATATATTGTAGTTATTGATGTGGAGACAAGAGTCTTGCTGACCTGTGGGAAAAAAAGGAGGGTATTGTTTGGAGAAGTACAGGAGAAGAGGGGGGAAGGAGAAAAAGAAGGAAACAATCATTTAAAAAAAACCCAGAAAAGCAATTTTCAGCCCCATTTTATTTGCTTTATTTTCCTCCTCCCCCATTTTAAGTAAATTGGGGGGAGGGGTTGCTTGTGCTGAAATGAGAGAGAAACTGAGGTGGCATAGAGGTGACAATAGAGAGCTATGTACACAAAGAAGTATGCTTACTAAGGAACGTATAGCATGATTGCATAAATCAATATTTATCAAAACTCAGGGAACAACATGACTGAGACAAACCCAAACATTTCTGAACTCTGATTGCCTGAAGTAACTCAATTTTTGTATCAAACTACCCAACTGCCTTTAATAGTCAGCAGCTCTCACATGCTCCTCTGGGACCAGAATTTGATTCTTCAACATATTCTTAGAGGCAGAGGTGTTTTAGTTCATTACAATTAATTATAAAATTATTGTTATAAAAGTGTTTTCTAATTATTATAATGTGTTACCACAACAATGTAGGTTGACTAAATTATGCATTGGTCTCAATGATGACATTTAAATTTTGAAAGAAATATCATTCCATTTCTCACCAGAGAAACAGGTACTTTTTGGAATTCTGCCCAGTGGTGATATTTAGTGGATGGCCAACGTAATTTTTCATTCTGTACAGGTTCCTGTAATAACTGGGAGATTATATTCACTTGCTAGCAATTGGCAACAAAACAACAGCTATTCAGTATACACCTGTTTGGTTTTCCTCTATTCAATTTAGTGATTTCAGTCTGATGGATAATGTTTCTTACCACTTTTAGTTGCAAAAGCAGCAGATTCTGTTCTATAGCCTATGCTAACAGATGACACAACAAGGCAATTTGGGAATCTGAGACACATGTACTTCTAGTCCATTTCGACTGCTGCTGTCAAAGGCTGCTGTTTTGCAGAACGGCTCCCATTGAAAATTTTGTGCAATCCAATATCACTTTCAGGATTTTTCTACAATTCTACAATTAATCTTCTTATAATTAATACAAGTAATCTACTATTACTCATTCTCCGTCAATTTACAGAACAGCTCCTGGACCAGATAGGTAGAGTTACACTATTTATTGTATTTCAAGTGTTGCAACCATCTTAGAGCAACCTGGATTTAGGGATAAGCCTAAGTCTGAACCAATATATTGCCAAATATATGAAGCCTTTTGATTTCCCGTTCATTCTACTTCTCAAGGTAAAATGCAAATTAAACTGTTCCTTCATTTTATAAAAGATTTAAATACACTAACCTGCAAATGCCATCTCCAACTCAGTGAATGGGATTGTAGGCTCAATGTCAGATACTTTTAGAGCCGGGAGACAGGAGGTATCTTGAGGTTTGCTTTGAAGAGCAATTAATTCCAAACCTAATAAAGCGGAATATTAAGATTAATGCTTAAAGGTTTCCAATAAAAGCTATCAAAACCCAGTGAAATTATGTAGCTAGGGGAAAAAAAAACATTTCTGTGGCAGATAAGAGTGATATTTCCCATTCCCAACAGCTCCTGCAAACTATTAGTGTCACTGTATTTTACTGAAATGCACATCAGAGGGCATCACACAAAATCCATCACCATCCGAACAGAATAAAGTGTTTCTATCTCCACCCTTTTTTATGATAGCTCGTGATCCAGAGCTCGAAAAATTTACCAGACACCTACCAGCCAGATGTCAAAGACTTCCGCCTAATAGCAACACAGCTTTCAGGTGAAAAGCTCAGTATCCACCTGGAATTCTTTCTCCGGACATTGCTACATGCTGTGTGGCTAAATCAGTTAGTTTGTTTGAAAAACCTCAACCTCTATCTTTTATATCCACCTCTAGCTAGTGGTTGTTTAAAAACCCCTCAAGTTCACCTTATAATGTAGGCAACCTCACCTAGTTGCTAGAAAGCTTTTGGGGGAAGGGATAGCTCAGTGGTTTGAGCATTGGCCTGCTTGCTAAACCCAGGGTTGTGAGTTCAGTCCTTGAGGGGGCCACTTAGGAATCTGGGGCAAAAATCAGTACTTGGTCCTGCTAGTGAAGGCCGGGGGCTGGACTTGATGATCCTTCGGGGTCCCTTCCAGTTCTATGAGATAGGTATATCTCCAGAATTTAAATTTTAAGCTGCTCTCCTTTTCCCAAGCCCAGAACCTCCAGACTACTCTGAAGCAGTATCTCAGCTTCTCTACTCTTCTAGATTTTGTTTCCCTTTTCCTTGGTGAATACTGTACTTTATAGCCTGCCCTACTTCTGATGTTTATAGCTTTCCCAAGTACCAAGAGTGTAACTAACATGATGTTTGTATGTTTCACAGTTGCACAGAGATTCCAAGTCCTGTTAATTTCACTTAGGAGCTGCTGGAGTAAATTACAATGTTAGAGAGACTACAATCTGCAGCCTGAAAAAGACATCATTGCATCAGTTCACATTCTGAAAGTTATCTTTGTAAGCAAAAGAGTCTGGAAACAATAAGAAAGCTCAAGCTCTTCAGAAGTGTTATATTGGTCTTCTCACTGGCTCATACAAACTTCCCTCACAACAGTGATGGAACTGATGATATGTCTGCTGTTTTGAGAGCAAGTTCACTATATGTTTCTAGTATTAGCAGGTTATATTAAAAAGAACATTGCCTTCCCCCTCTCCTCCAAGGCTCTGATCAATTTCTTCCTTTTTTTAAGTGGAAAGTACTCTAAATAGTGGAATATATTGGTGATGTCTTTAACCATACATTTGTCTTTTGCATACACATTCGAGCACACACAGTTTACTAAAAATAACAAAAAAACCCAACAGTAAAGTCTTCCACTTTCAAAACAAATACTGATGGACTTCTGGTATATATCAAAGAACTGTAAATATTCTACAAGTGACAAATAAAATAGCTGGTTGTCATTTTTGTAAACCGTTATCAGAACTAAAAAAGCGTTACAAGATGCTAACCTTTTTCATACGTTTGTTTCTTCTCTTCTTCAGAAAGAGCATTAACCTTTTGTTTCAGTTTTTCTGCTTCCAATTTTGCTTGTTTTTCATAGTAGCTTTCATCTGGACTCATCGACAGAGTCAATCTATGTGGATTATCCTGTACAAATACATTCCCATAACAAAATATTAAGTTTAAGGACTGTTTCTTCCTCCCTTTTATCTTCAGATCCCTAGATTATTGCCATCACCAAGCAGATATATGCCGCATGCATATTATTTTGCTTGCATATCATCTGAAGCCACTTAAGGTCTCATTATTTCTTTCAGGCAAAATCCTGCCCTTTGATGAATTACTAAATAAGGGGTAGAAAAGGATGCACATAGCCACAAGAATGAGCACAAGCAGCCTTCTGTGACATTTGAGCAGCCATCATCCCTCAATGACATATTGGTCACTGGTCTAATTAAATCAATATAAAATACACCAGTGTAACTTTCTCATAGACAAGGCCAGAGACATGAATGTCCTAGAAAATACAGCTAACTAATGTGCTAGGATAGGTAGAGCAGCCTAATTAGGCCCTTTCCCCAGGCACATCCCGCTGTCAACCTAAGAGCAAGAGCTCAGAGTCCACATGAAATGGAGCTCCAAACCACAAAGAGGGTAGACATATCCTACACAGCCACCTGAAATCCAGTCTCAGAGGTGCAATGAATAACGCCAGTTCTCCTGCTTGGGAGCCCACCTGCATTGTGCAAATTTCATAATTGCTATTAAATACTTTGTTTTCTACTCTGAAGCAGAGAGCTGATATATTTACTGTGAATTTTAAATCATACAACTCAAATTGTTTCCATTTTATATAATATTGGGGAGGCTATTAAAAGGACACAGTGAACATGGGAAAACTGTCAGTTTAAAATATTAGTTTAAAAAGGTCAAGATACACTTGCTTCTGAGACCCACTATCAATACTTGGCTACACTGGCGCTATGCAGCGCTGAAACTTGCTGCGCTCAGAGGTGTGAAAACGCCCCCCCACACACCCCGCCCGAGCGCAGCGCTGTAAAGCGCCAGTGTAATCAGCGCCTGCAGCACTGCATGCTCGCTCGCAGCGCTGCAAGCTACTCCCCTCAGAGAGGTGGAGTACATACAGCGCTGCGAGAGAGCTCTCGCAGCGCTGGCGGCGCTACTACACTCGCGCTTCACAGCGCTGTCCTTTGATAATTACAAAAAAATTGCTAGCAACAGGAATTGAAATTACTTGCTGTGACAGACTGGACCCCTATGTTCACCACTTTTATAAGACTAGGATAAATTTTGTACAAAGTATGCCTCATGAGGTATCATTTGAAAACTCATAATTCACTAATCATTATTGTCCTGGTAAAATATTATTCATAGTCAACTTATTCATAAATGATCTGGAGAAAGGGGTAAACAGTGAGGTGGCAAAGTTTGCAGACGATACTAAACTGCTCAAGATAGTTAAGACCAAAGCAGACTGTGAAGAACTTCAAAAAGATCTCACAAAACTAAGGGTATGTCTACACTACCCACCGGATCGGCAGACAGTTATCGATGCAGCGGGGATCAATTTATCGCGTCTACTCTAGACGCGATAAATCGACCCCCGACTCCTCTCCTGTCGACTCCTGTACTCCAGCGCGAGAGGCACAGGCAGAGTCGACAGGGGAGTGGCAGTGGTCGACTCACCGCGGTGAAGACACTACGGTAAGTCGATCCAAGTACGTTGACTTCAGCTACTTTATTCATGTAGCTGAAGTTGCATAACTTAGATCGATCTCCCCACCATCACCACCCCACCCCCAGTGTAGACCAGGACTAAATGATTGGGCAACAAAATGGCAAATGAAATTTAATGTGGATAAATGTAAAGTAATGCACATTGGAAAAAATAACCCAAACTATACATACAATATGATGGGGGCTAATTTAGCTACAACTAATCAGGAAAGAGATCTTGGAGTCATCATTGATAGTTCTCTGAAGACGTCCATGCAGTGTGCAGTGGCAGTCAAAAAAGCAAACAAGATGTTAGGAATCATTAAAAAAGGGATAGAGAATAAGACAGAGAATATCTTATTGCCCTTATATAAATCCATGGTACGCCCACATCTTGAATACTGCGTACAGATGTGGTCTCCTCATCTCAAAAAAACATATACTGGCATTAGAAAAGGTTCAGAGAAGGGCAACTAAAATGATTAGGGGTTTGGAACGGGTCCCATATGAGGAAAGATTAAAGAGGCTAGGACGTTTCCGCTTGGAAAAGAGGAGACTAAGGGGGGATATGATAGAGGTATATAAAATCATGAGTGGAGTGGAGAAAGTGAATAAGGAAAAGTTATTTACTTGTTCCCATAATATAAGAACTAGGGACCACCAAATGAAATTAATGGGCAGCAGGTTTAAAACAAATAAAAGGAAGTTCTTCTTCACACAGCGCACAGTCAACCTGTGGAACTCCTTGCCTGAGGAGGTTGTGAAGGCTACGGCTAGAATTAGATACATTCATGCAGGTTAAGTCCATTAATGGCTATTAGCCAGGATGGGTAAGGAATGGTGTCCCTAGCCTCTGTTTGTCAGAGGTTGGAGATGGATGGCAGGAGAGAGATCACTTGATCATTACCTGTCAGGTTCACTCCCTCTGGGGCACGTGGCATTGGCCACTGTCGGCAGACAGGATACTGGGCTGGATGGACCTTTGGTCTGGTCAGTATGGCCATTCTTATGTTCTTAATATGTGTGGCATCATTATATATAAAGTTATATGATTCTACTGTAAGATGTTACTAAGACATATTCCAAATCTAGGGAAGCAGCCCAAACCATTTCCTCAGAGACAAAAGGCAAACTGACATCTCAGCTAGATGTCAACACAATCAAATGGACTATCACCTCAAGCCTCATCTCTACTCATGGCATCATAAACATTTGAAAGACAAAAGAAGCATCACTGAACTGGGAGAAAATCCAGCCAGACTGCTGTAAACATATGGTGAGAGGTTTCAGAGTAGCAGCTGTGTTAGTCTGTATCCGCAAAAAGAACAGGAGTACTTGTGACACCTTAGAGACGAACAAATTTATTAGAGCATAAGTTTTCGTGGGCTACAGCCCACTTCTTCGGATGCATATAGAATGGAACATATATTGAGGAGATATATATATATACACACACACATACAGAGAGCATGAATAGGTGGGAGTTGTCTTACCAACTTTGAGAGGCCAATTAAGTAAGAGAAAAAAAACTTTTGAAGTGATATTCAAGCTAGCCCAGTACAGACAGTTTGATAAGAAGTGTGAGAATACTTACAAGGGGAGATAGATTCAGTGTTTGTAATGGCTCAGCCATTCCCAGTCCTTATTCAATCCTAAATTGATTGTATCTAGTTTGCAAATCAATTCCATATGGTGAGAGCCTGTTTTTACTTTTTATTTCTTTGTAACCAATTCTGACTTTTATGCCTCATTACTTGTAATCACTTAAAATCTATCTTTTTGTAGTTAATAAACTTGTTTCTTTTATCTAAACCACTGTGTGTTTGGACTGAAGTGTTTGAGAAACTTCATTTGGGATAACAAGATTTGTGCATATCATTTTCTATTAATGAAATGACAGATTTTTTTTATGAGCTTCCACTATACAGAAGGAAAGAGCTGGGCAGTACAAGATGCACATTTCTGGGGAGAAGTATGGGTCTGGGGATTTGCTAGTGTCATTCTGCAATACAATTAAGGAGTGGCTGGCTAGGAGCACTCATATAACTCAGCTGGGAATAATTTACATGCTAGAGGCTGTGTGTGAGCAAGGCCAGGAGTGACTGCTCTCACAGTGAAGTAGTGTAAAAGGCACCCCAGGACACAGCTGTTCAGCAGGCTGAATTGTACCCAGCGTAATTTCATATTTGCATTTTGCCCAGAGTTCATGTACACACTTTAGTTGGACATTTCAAAATGAAGCTACCGCCTATTTTTGCCAAAGTTTTACAGTATATATGATGAATGGACTCCATCTGTAAATGCTGACATTTAAGCTACCTACAATAATGGGTTCTATAGTTATGACAAAATCAAGAGGCCTGAAGCTAGTACTACTGTCACAGGCTCAATCAGTCTGGTACAGAAATTAGTATTAAAAGAGTATTAGTATTAATTATAATTAATTAAGTATAAATATTAGTATTAATATTTTTCTTTAGTCTCCTTACCTTAAAATACTGTTTAACTTTTTCTTGAAGAAATGTTGGGTTTTCCTTGAGGTGCTGTCTGAACTGAGTCACTTTGTCTGCAATCTTCAAAAGTTCCACAGGGTCTCCTTCATGATTCCAGCAGGAAGCTATGTACTTGATTGACAAGAAATTAGATAAACATGACATTTAACTGCACACACAGGCATTTCATGGATTGGCTTGCTTATTCCAGAACACACACATTACCAGTCTTGTTTATATATTTATAGCAGACAAGCAACATGCAGCACTTCAGTAATACTGCCATTTGATATGTACATCAAAATAAAAGCGACACTATTGTTTGTTAAAAGGGACATCGGGGTTATTTCCCTCCCTCCCCCGCCTCAAAAAAAAGTTACCTTGGCAGCTCCCAATTTTCCAAGTTTTCACCTTGAGGAGTCTTTTGTCACATTCTTCCCCCTTAGCCCAGATCTCACCCATCCCCTTACTTTTTAGAATAAACAAATATTCAGTCCAACTGGGAGGAAGGACATGGAAAAAGTAAAATTGAACCAGAACTGCCAAGAGAGATCAGATTCTACAGTCAACTACACATTTGTAGGAATTTTTCAGCCTAAAAAAACGACTGTTTTTTACATAACTCAGTTTTGCGTTTAAATGGGACCACTGTTAAAGTAGATATGATTTTATAAGAAGAAATCTGCTAAGCCTTTTTGTTTTGGAGGTTTTGTTTTCGTTGTTAGGACTTATGTGGGAGGAGTTATTAATTTTAAAATTTGTGAAACTACTACTGAAAGTTGACCAACACACTCTACAAGAACCAGAACTGAAGAGATTGATAGTTTCTGTTCAGTAGAAGAAACACATGGGGGAGGAGGGGACTTGAAATAAAGTACACTACAAAGCAAATGTTAAATAAATGAAGAAAAATTGTTCTTGAACTTCATTTATCAAAATTATGTTTTCTACAGTTCTCCATTTTCATTTTCTTAAAAAAGGATAATACTAGTAGGTGTCCTAAGCGTATAAATGACTGCTTCTTGGAGCAGCCGGTACAGGCACCAACAAGGGGAGAAGCAATTCTCGATTTAGTCCTGAGTGGAGCGCAGGATCTGGTCCAAGAGGTAACTATAACAGGACTGCTTGGAAATAGTGACCATAATATAACAACATTTAACATTCCTGTGGTGGGAAAAACACCTCAACAGCCCAACACTGTAGCATTTAATTTCAGAAAGGGGAACTATGCAAAAATGAGGAAGCTAGTTAAACAGAAATTAAAAGGTACAGTGACTAGAGTGAAATCCCAGCAACCTGCATGGACACTTTTCAAAGACACCACAATAGAGGTTCAACTTAAATGTATACCCCAAATTAAAAAACACAGTAAAAGAACTAAAAAACAGCCACCATGACTTAACAACCATGTAAAAGAAACAGTGAGAGATAAAAAGGCATCTTATAAATAGTGGAAGTCAAATCCTTGTGAGGTAAATGGAAAGGAGCATAAACACTGCCAAATTAAGTGTAAAAATCTAATACGAAAAGCCAAAAAGGAGTTTGAAGAAAAGCTAGCCAAAAACTCAAAAAGTAATAACAAAATGTTTTTTAAATACATCAGAAGCAGGGAGCCTGCTAAACAACCAGTGGGGCCCCTGGACAATCGAGATACAAAAGGAGCACTTAAAGACGATAAAGTGATCGCTGAGAAACTAAATGAATTCTTTGCTTCAGTCTTCATGGATGAGGTTGTTAGGGAGATTCCCAAACCTGAGCTGTCCTTTGTAGGTGACAAATCTGAGGAATTATCACAGATTGAAGTGTTATTAGAGGAGGTTTTGGAATTAATTGATAAACTTAACAGTAATACGTCACCGGGACCAGATGGCATTCACCCAAGAGTTCTGAAAGAACTCAAATGTGAAATTGCAAAACTATTAACTATGGTTTGTAACCTGTCCTTTAAATCAGCTTCCGTACCCAATGACTGGAAGATAGCTAATGTAACGACAATATTTAAAAAGGGCTCTAGAGATGATCCTGGCAATTACAGAATGGTAAGTCTAACGTCAGTACCAGGCAAATTAGTTGAAACAATAGTAAAGAATAAAATTCTCAGATACACAAAAGAACATAAATTGTTGAGCAAAAGTCAACATGGTTTCTGTAAATGGAAATCATGTCTTACTAATCTATTAAGAGTTCTTTGAAGGGGTCAACAAACATGTGGACAAGGGGAACCAAGTGGACATAGTGTATTTAGATTTCCAGAAAGCCTTTGACAAGGTTACTCACCAAAGGCTCTTACGTAAATTAAGTTGTCATGGGATAAGAGGGAAGATCCTTTCATGGATTGAGAACTGGTTAAAAGACAGGGAACAAAGGGTAGGAATAAATGGTAAATTTTCAGAATGGAGAGGGGTAACTAGTGGTGTTCCCCAAGGGTCAGTCCTAGGACCAATCCTACTCAACTTATTCATAAATGATTTGGAGAAAGGGGTAAACAGTGAAGTGGCAGTTTGCAGATGATACTAAACTACTCAAGATAGTGTGACAGACCCAGACCAGTGGGGTACAGGAGTCTGGTAGAGGGCAAATATACTGGTCACTGGATGAGTAGTTTTCTGTTCCCTGAGTGACCAGAGCAGGGGCTGCACTAGAGTAATCAGAAACCTGCTAGAACCAGTTAAGGCAGGCAGGCTAATTAGGACACCTGGAGTCAATTAAGAAGAAGCTGCTAGAATCAATTAAGGCTGGCTAATCAGGACACCTGGGTTTTAAAAAGGAGCTCACTTCAGTTTGTGGTGTGAGTGTGAGGAGCTGGGAGCAAGAGGTGCAAGGAGCTGAGAGTGAGAGGGTGAGGGTGTGCTGCTGGAGAACTGAGGAGCACAAGCGTTATCAGACACCAGGAGGAAGGTTCTGTGGTGAGAATAAGGAAGGTGTTTGGAGGAGGCCATGGGGAAGTAGCCCAGGGAATTGTAGCTGTCATGCAGCTGTTACAGGAGGCACTATAGACAGCTGCATTCCACAGGGCCCTGGGCTGGAACCCGGAGTAGAGGGCGGGCCCGGCTTCCCCCCAAACCTCCCAATTGACCTGGACTGTGGGTTCTTCCAGAGGGGAAGGTCTCTGGGTTGTTCCCCAACCCACATGGTGAATCTCTGCAGCAAGAAAATCTGCCAATAAGCACAGGACCCACCAAGATAGAGGAGGAACTTTGTCACAATAGTTAAGACCAAAGCATACTGTGAAGAACTTAAAAAAGATCTCACAAAACTAAGTGATTGGGCAACAAAATGTCAAATGAAATTTAATGTGGATAAATGTAAAGTAATGCACATTGGAAAAAATAACCCCAACTATACATACAATATGAAAGGGGGCTAATTTAGCTATAACTAATCAGGAAAGAGATCTTGGAGTCATAGTGGATAGTTCTCTGAAGACCTCCATGCAGTGTGCAGCGGCAGTCAAAAAAGCAAACAGGATGTTAGGAGTCATTAAAAAAGGGATAGAGACTAAGACGGAGAATATCTTATTGCCCTTATATAAATCCATGGTATACCCACATCTTGAATACTGCGTACAGATGTGGTATCCTCGTCTCAAAAAAGATATACTGGCATTAGAAAAGCTTCAGAGAAGGGGTTTGGAATGGGTCCCATATGAGGAGAGATTAAAGAGGCTAGGACTTCTCAGTTTGGAAAATAGGAGACTAAGGGGGGATATGATAGAGGTATATAAAATCATGAGTGATGTGGAGAAAGTGGATAAGGAAAAGTTATTTACTTGTTTCCATAATATAAGAACTAGGGGCCACCAAATGAAATTAATGGCAGCAGGTTTAAAACAAATAAAAGGAAGTTCTTCTTCACACAGCGCACAGTCAAACTGTGGAGTTGTGAAGGTTAGGACTGTAACAGGGTTTAAAAGAGAACTAGGTACATTCATGGAGGTTAAGTCCATTAATAGCTATTAGCCAGGCTGGGTAAGGAATTGTGTCCCTAGCCTCTGTTTGTCAGAGGATGGAGACGGATAGCAGGAGAGAGATCAATTGATCATTGCCTGTTAGGTTCACTCCCTCTGGGGCACCTGGCATTGGCCACTGTCGGCAGACAGGATGCTGGGCTGGATGGACCCTTGGTCTGACCCAGTATGGCCAGTCTTATGTTCTTATCTGTCAAAACTCTAAAAAATATTTAAGAATACCATAGGAACTTTCTGTTTCAAAGAACATTCCCATATACTCAAAGTAATTATTGCTGGGTGATGATAATCACTCCATAGTTAAGGTTGCAACTGGCTTCCATTATAAGACCAATGCGAGTTCCTCACCAAAAACTTCAAGCAAAGGAAATATCAATTGAAAAACGGGTAGGTTAGGTCTTGGCAGCGATAAATTTTTCTACAAACTTTTAATACAAACTGTTATTGTTCCAAAGAATACTTCAAGATTTGGAAGAATTTAACATTACTCACTCATTAACTTTGATCGTTCTAGCAATAATTCATTTGACAGTTTCAATGCGTCTCTACAAACGCTGTTAAAAAAAAAAAAAAAATCCTGTATGATTTCACTCTAAAATTAAGGTTTCCAAGTTCAACAAATCTAACTTTTGCTTTTTTGTCACTGTTGTAACAAGAAATTAACAAAAGAAAAGAGAGAATTCAGTTACTGTACTGAACTTCCGCTAAGATCTAGTGTTTTTAAACAATCATCCCTAGAAAACTTGAAGTTATTTCCATTTTTATTATTAATGGAAATATGGAGAGATTAATATGGGATGTTACTGCTGGAGACTTAAGCAGATTATTTTTCTTTTAAATAAAGTACGTTTCTAGAGTATTTTCTTGCAGAGATAATCCTCAAACTTCAAATTAATTGCTTGCAAGTCTTATCAATTAAAAAGAGGGTTTTTTGAAGCAGAATTTAATCAGACAAGCTGAAGTCATTTTAAAAAAATCAAACGTTTAGGTTGATCACCATAGTGAGAAATTTATAAAGCTCTTTTTGCCGGATCCTAACTTGAAAAGAACAGGGAAACATTTTAAATTAAGTTTGATTTGATTATTCTATTAAATGCATTCTCTTGCTGCTGTCCCCTCCCCAACTCTCCTGGTAACCCCACTATCCCACTCTAGAAGACCTCCTAAAATGCTCACTTCCTTTGGATCTTAGGTGGGATTTGCAGGCTGGAGAAAGCATGGAACTTGGATTACATAGCGGAGAACAGGATATAGAGAGTCCTAGCAAAGTGGGGGAGGGCACAGTGGTGAAGACAAGAAGGGTGACAGCAAAGTGAGGGATAGTGGACAAGTGGAAACAGGGTGTAGCAGAATAGGAGACAGCAGAGGAGTTGATCATTGGGAAAGGCAGAATGTGAAATTTTCCATCTCTCCTGCAGATCCTCACAGAGCCCCCCACTTTACAAAGCTTAGAAGGCTTCTCAGGGTTCTTCAGAGCCACCCACATTTTCTAGGGGGCTCATCTCTACAATTGCTTCTATGAGAAAATTTTAGGTAAACATTCAAGCCAGGGCATATTTTCATGTTTAAACTATGAATTTTAATTACAGCAGCAAAACTAAGTACAGGGGACCAAGTAATCAGTCATTATTTATATAGCGCTATGGGGTGCAAGAGGCCTTACAAATGTATAAGTCCATGCCCTGAGTTTACAAACCCAGGAGAAATCGCTACCCAAGCAAGCAATTCCAGTGGACCTAATCGTGTAAACATTAGGGGATTGAGCCCTAAATTAACCAACTAATACAGTAACTCCTCGTTAACGTTGTAGTTCTGTTCCTGAAAAATGCGACTTAAACAATTTAATACTGTACACAGCAATGATGATTGTGAAGCTTGGTTGAGGTGGTGAAGTCAGAAGGTGGAAGACGGTGGGATATTTCCCAGGGAATGCCTTACTGCTAAATGATGAACTAGCTTTTGGCTGAGCCCTCAAGGGTTAACCCATTGTTTTTAATGTAGCCTCACACTCTACAAGGCAGCACGAATGGAGGGAGGGGAGACTATGGCAGACAGAGACACACCCCCTGTGTGTGAGAGAGAGAGAGAGAGAGAGAGATGAGCATTGCCCCTTTAAGTAGGCTGACCCCACTCTAAGTACACTGCCTCGTTAAGTAGATCAGCAAGTTGAGACAGCAGCTGCTCCCAGGAAGCTCCCTCCATCCTGAGCCCTGTCGTGTTGTTCCCCGGCCAGGGAGATGGGGGTAAGTGGGGTGTAGGAACGGGGGGAGAGGGACACCCTGATATCCCCTCTTCCCCCCCCCCCACCCGCATAGCAAGCAGGAGGCTCCTGGGAGCAGCTCCAAGGTAGAGGGCAGGAGCAGCACATGGCAGTGACGGGAGGAACAGCTGAACTGCCAGCAATTGATAGCCTGCTAGACGGCTGCCGCACAGGGAACTTAGGGGAGCAGGGAGTTGGTAGGGGGGCTGTTGGTCCACCCTGGTTCCAAGCCCCCACCTGCTAGCTCCAATGGGCTGCTCTTCCTGCAAGCAGTGGGCAAAACAGGCGACGTTATAAGGGAGCATTGCACAACTTTAAACAAGCCTGTTCCCTCATTGATCAGCAACAAAACAACGTTAACCAGGATGCACATTTCTGGGGAGAAGTATGGGTCTGGGGATTTGCTAGTGTCATTAGAGTAACTCTAAGTGAAGAGTTACTCTACAAAGTCTAATGATGACAGACCTTTGTTAATATTGAGGGGAAGGAAGGGAGACAAAAAAAAGATATTTCAGTAGAAGGTCTGTATGAGAAAGGCCTTGCAAAATCTGACCCAGAATTCTAAGACACTGTTGAAAACTGACATTTTTCCTATTCAGAAAAAAGGAGCACTTACTGATGTCAGGGCAAGTCCAAAACTTGTAGACTGATGCTTCATCTGGATTTCAATTTTGTGAAGTAGAGCTTCAATCCTCTCTTCCTCAAATCCTTTTCTTTGGGAAAAGAATTTTTTTTTATATAGATGCAGGGGAGTTGTATACATACATACTACACACACACACACACAGAAGTATGCATGCACCCATTAATATGCTACTAATCATAAATAAAGACATGAAAATGAATTACAGTATTGATGAAGCATTGGTACTTAATATGTACCATATAGAATAAAACTGATATGAAGTAATATCATGGTGTGTCATTTAATGAAACAGCACTATTAACTCCTAAATATTATGGTGGGGGTACACTATAGGACAAGTATTTAAGGAAGCAGGGGGGAGAGGCAAGAAAAAAGATTGGTTCTTAAAAGTACTGAACCCTTGAAAATTGCTACTTTAGTGTAGTTTTCATACATTTAAAAAATAATTGATATTTTAAAAATATACTTCTAGAAATAGTTTTTGCTAAAAGAATACTTCAAGAATTTTAACATTACTCACTCAATAACTTCATCTATTGTTCTAGCAGTAATTTGTTTGACTGTTTCAATGTCTTTCTCAGCAATTCCCTGCAGGCCTACACTGAAGTAAGCCTCTCTCGTGCAGCCATTAAACCTAGAATAAAAAACATTTATTCCAGCGGTAGGTACTGAAACTTTTACACAGAACCACAGAAAAGTAATAACTAGTTAATGAATGCAAAAAGAAAAAGAATTTACAAGATATAGACTAAGGTGGAAAAGAAAAAACCTAACAAAAAGGCAAGGAGCCAAAATCTTCAGCTATTTATTTTTCAATTTCAGTAGGAATGTTACACTGTTTTCAAAAGTTTCAGCCATGGTTCAAACTAAAGAATGAAATACAGCTAGAGAACCAAAAGTAAATTAGGCAAGACAGAAAAATCTTGGAATTAATCTGTATTAGTGTTTTCAAATACAGAAGATTTTTCTGTATTTATATAATTTTATTTACATGGCAGATACCAAGAGGAAAACACTTTTTAAACCAACATGTACATTTTACTTATGACAGTGAGTAGAAGGTGTCTACAATTTAGTCTTCATATAGCAGTCTTTGAAAATTGAGTACAGAGATGATACTTTGGGGGTTCCATATTTATGTCACAGTGACTCAATAGATTTAGGGAAACTGAGATAAAGAAACTGTAGTCCAAGTTTTCACAAGTGACTAACTTTAGGGCTCAACTCTAGAAACCTAAGGTCCCATTTTCAGAAGTCCTGAACATCCTACAATTCCAATAGAAGCCAATGTAATAGGAGCTGTAGGGGACCGGCACTGATGAAAATCAACTCAACTGCACTTAAAATTCAGCATGGCAAAACTGAGCCACGCAAATTAGAGGCCATTTACAATTTCCCACCCCCCATGAATGACTTGTCAAAGACCATAAAGTGATCCAGAATTCAGAAGTGTCCAATTCTCCGACTTATGCTCATTTCTCTAGACTATTACTCC